ACTAAAACTGGTTCTTTGAAAAGATCAATAAAACTGATGAGCCTCTAACCAGGCTAACTACCAAAAAAAAAAAAAAAAAGAGAGAGAGAAAGGACACAAATGACTAGTATCAGAATGGAAAAGTGGGCATCCCTCAGATCTCATGGACATTAAAATGGTAATAAAGGGAATGTTATGAACAACTTTATGCCCACAAATTTGATAACTTTAGATAACCAATTCTTTAATGGACCAATTCCTTCAAAGACACAAGCTGCCAAAATTCACACAAGACGGAACAGATAATCTGAGTAAGACTGTATTAAAGAAATTGAATTAGGAGCAACATGGATGGACCTAGAGATTATCATATTGAGGGAAGTAAGTCAGAAAGACAAAGCATATGATATCACTTACATGTGGAATCTAAAAAAAAAAAAGATACAAATTTTATTTACAAACCAAAAACAGACTCACAGACACAGAAAACAAACTATGGTTACCAGAGGGGAAAGAGCGGGGAGGGATAAATTAGGGGGTGGGCATTAACAGACACATTTTATGGGGCAGGGTATAGCTCCAGGGGTAGAACACATGCTTAGCATGCACAGCGTCCTGTGTTCAATCCCCAGTACTTCCTCCAAAACTAAATAAACCAACCCAATTACCTCCCCCTCAAAAAAGAATTTTAAAAAGATACACTAAACTTAAAAAAAAAGACATTTTACTATATATAAAATAAACAGCAAAGATCTACTGTATAACACAGGGAACTATATTCAATTTCTTGTAATAAAATATAACGGAAAAGAATCTGAAAAGGAGTAAATAAATATCTATACATATCTGAATCACTTTGATGTATACCTGAAACGAACACAACATTGTAAATCAATTATACTTCAATTAAAAATTTTTTAAAATTAAATATGTATTGATCTGTAAATAACTTGACAAATCATGAAGGTGGCTGGGTGCAGATTATTACTGATTGTTAGGATGGAGTGGTGACTTCCAAGGTCCTTACACACAAAACAAGGAACTAGAAGTCTAGCAAGGACTTTTTAGGTACAACACCAAAGGCATAATCCATGAAAGAAATAATTGATAAGCTGGATTTCATTAAAATTTAAAACTTCTGTTCCGTGAAAGACACTGTCAAGAAAATGAGAAAACATGCTATATAGACTTGCAAAAAATATATCTAATAAAGGAGTGTTATCTAAAACATACAAAAAAGTCTTAATGGACCAAAGATCTTAACAGACCTCACCAAAGAAGGCATACAGATGGCAAATAAGCATTTGAAAAGATGCTCCGTATCATATGCTATGAGAGAGATGCAAATTAAAACAGCAAGATACCACTACACATCTATTAGAGTAGCCAAAACCTGGAAACTGACATCAAATGCTGACAAGAACACAGAGCAACAGGAACCCTCATTCTTTGCTGGTAGGAATGCCTAATGGTACAGCCACTCTGGAAGATAGTTTGGTGATTTCTTACAAAACTAAACATATTCTTACCATACGATCCAGCAACTACACTCCTTGGTGTTTACCCAAAGAGTTGGAAACTTACATGCACAGAAAAACCTGCACACAAATGTTTACAGCAGCTTTTTCACAACTGCCAAAACACAGAAGCAACCAAGATGCCTTTCAGAAGGTGAATGGATAAACTTGGTACATCCAGATAATCGAAAATTCTTCAGTGCTAAAATGAAATGAACTAACAAGCCTTGAAAAAGCATGAAGGAAACTTAAATGCATATTACTAAGTGAAAGAACCCAATCTGAAAAGTCTACATACTGTATGATTCCAATCACTTGACACTCTGGAAAAAGCAAAACTATGGAGATGATAAAAAGATCAGAGATTGCCAAGAGTTGAGAGATGAGGAAGGGATAAACAGGCAGGGCACAGATTTTTAGGGAAGTGGAAATATTCTGTATAATACTCTAATGATGGATATATGTCATTATATATTTGTCCAAACCACAGAATGCACACCACCAAGAGTAAACCCTAAAATAAACTACGGACTTTGTGTGATTATGATGTCAATGTAGGTTAATTAATCCTAACAAGTCTACCATTCTGGTGGGAGATGTTGATAATGGGGGAAGACTATGCATGTGTGGGGAAAGGGGTTATATGGGAACTCTCTGGACCTTCCCCTAAATTTTGCTGTTGACTTAAAACTGCTCTGAAAAATGAAATTGTTTTTTAAAAAGTAAAACTATCTTTATCCATAGATGGCATGACCATTTGTATAGAAAACCCTACAGATTCTACAAGAAAGCTGTTAATAAATTAGTGAATTTAGCAAGGCCACATGGTCCCAGATCAATATATGAAAACCAATTGTATTTTTATATAGTAGCCACAATCAGAAATAGAAATTTTTAAATGCTATTAATAAGAGAATTTAAAAATATGAAATACTTCGGAATGAATATGACAAAAGATGTAGAGACGCGCACAGAAGAAACTACAAAACATTGTTAAGAAAAATTAAAGATGATCTAAATAAATGGAGAGATATACCATATTCATGGATCAGAAGACTCAATATTGTTAAGATGTCAATTCTCCTCAAATTAATCTAAAGGTGCACTGTAATCTCAATCAAAATTCCAGGAGGCTTTTTTGTAGAAATTAAAAGCAGATTCCAAAATTCATATGGAGATGCAAAAGATCTAGAATGGCCAGTAACATTTTTGAAAAAGAACAAAGTTGGAAGACCTAGACTACCTGATATAAAGACTTACGGCAAAGGTACAACAATGGAGACAGTATGTCACTGATGTAAAGATAAAAAAATGGACAAATGGAACTGAGGGGGAGACCAGAAGTAGGCCCACAACATATATGGTCAATGGATTTCTGACAATAGCAGAGTAAGTCAGTAGAGACTTACCCCTCACCGCCAAACGGTGTAGGAACAAACAGATATTCAAATGCAAAAAAAAAAAAAAGATTTTTTTGAATTTCTATTTATACCTTGCTATATAAAAAACCAATTCAAAGTAGATCGTAGATCTAATGTAAAACCTAAAACTATAAAAGTTCTAGAAAAAATAAAGCAGCAAATCTTTGTGGGTTTAGGTAATCAAAGATCTCTAACTGGAGTTCATTAAAATTAAGGAGTTCTGCTCTTTAAAGGATATCGTTAAGAGAATGAAAAATACAAGCCATAGATGGGGAGGAAATATTTGTAAAACACATATATATATATCTCTGAAAAATGACATATAAAAGGATTTACTTTTTAAAATTCTTGTAACTCAGTAATAAAAGACAAACAACTGAATTAAAAACAGACCAACAATTTGAATAAACACTTCATCAAAGAAGACATGCTGATGACAAATAAGTACATGCCCAGATTCACTGGTCATGAGGGAGATACATATTAAAACCACAATGAAATGCAACTACCCACCTGTCTAAAATTAACAAGACTTTCTATAATAAGCTTTGGTGAAGATCTGAAGCAATTAGAACACAGAAGTTCTTCCGGCGGTGATGTTAAAATTGTACAGTCACCTTTGAAACTAGTTTGCCAGTTTCTTTAGAAGTTAAACATGGTGGGAAGGGTATAGCTCCGTGGTAGAGCACATGCTTAGCATGCACAAGGTCCTGGGTTCAATCCCCAGTGCCTCCATTAAATAAACCTAATTATCCTCCCCCGCCAATATGATACAGTGGAAAAAAAAAAAAAAGAAAGAAACAGAATTATATTAAAGAAAAAAAAAGTTAAATGTATAACTATTAGATGATGCAGTCATTCCACTGCTAAGTATTTACCTAAGAAAAATGAAAACGTATGACCATACAAAGACTTGCACATGAATGCTCACAGCAGTTCTATACATAATAGCAAAATATGCATCAACAGGTGAACGGATATACAGATTGTGGTCAATTTATACAAGGGATACTATAATGTAAGAGAAGGAAATACTGGCCCATGGAACACCATGGAAGAATATTTAAATAACTGCATTTAAATAACTACAGACTTCCTCCCCCTCCAAACTGCACCATCCCATTTATACAGAATTATAGAAAACAGAAACTAATTTATAGCAACAGAAAGCAGGTCAGCAGCTATCTGGGGATGTGGGAGAGACCACTGTAAGATTTACAAAGGGACGTGAAGAACACTGTTGGGAGTAATGGTTATGTTTATTATTATGATTGCAGTGAGGGTTTCACAGGCGTGTACGTACGTCAAAGCTCACTGAATCACACACTTGACATGTGTGCTACTTACGATGTCAACTATACCTCCACAAGGCTTTTTTAAAAAGCAGAATTAGAAAGAATAACGCCTGTAACACTGACATCAAAAAATGTCTATGGCACAAGTTTAAAAAAAAAATCTCGTGGAATTATCTGTATCATGATCCCACTTACGTAAAATATATATATACTTATACTGAATGTACAGTAATGTATGTACATGCAGAGAAAAAAGCCTGAGAAAATATATATTATTAATCTGTTTATGGTTTGAGATTGGAGAAACAATACAGACAGATTTCCTTTTATATATCCTGATATTGTTTAAACTTTATGTAACAATCATGCATTACTTCCGAAATTAAAAATAGAAGAAATTAGCAGGTTTAAAAGCCAAATGGGCAAGATGAACTTGAAGGTAAGAGCCAAACTGACTAATTCTACACAAGAGAAAGATGGAGGCTTTTCTTTGGAGAATGATTCCCAATCGTGGAGAAAAGTAAGGGGTCACATGCCTCGGAGTCACCGGGGTGATGGGACTCAGAGCTGCCGGCTCTCTCCCTCTCCCGGCAGAGAATCCCTACTTCCACGAGCGACCTCAATGGATAACAGCACCTGTCTGTCTTAGGCACCCTGAGGCACAAATCACCAAGAGCTCTAAAGGACTGCCAGGGTTCCCTCCCATTTTCAGTGGGTAGAAGGAACATGCAAGACTGTGGTCCTCTCTGACACGGTTTCTCAGCCCGCACTCTTGGTATATTCGGTACCTTGGATAATTTTCTGCTGCTGTTGCCGGATTTCATCAAAACCCAAGCCTCTGGTCTCCTCCGGCTCCTCGAAAAGCCAAGGGTTGGGGACTCCTCGCTTAGCCCCTCCAGTCATCAGGCTGGACCTAAGAACAAGATTAAATGCGTTACATAACTCAAAAAATACAGCTCTGCTGCAAATCATTCCCACAAGTGCGGAGGTGGCCGGCTTCGCAGGCTTTGAAAATTCAGTTCGACCACAATTTATCGCTTCCTTCGAGGATGCCAGCAGCTGCATTCAGTGCTGGAAGAGACGCAAGGATGCATAAGGCTGGCCCCCAGGAGAATTCCAGCCTGTCACAGGCTACGTGGCACCCAAGGCACAAATATTAATTCTCAGGAAGATGCAATGTTCTAACTACAGGTTACGGCATTGAAAAAAATGAGCATTTAATTTCTTATTAAAGGGTATGGCTGCTCGCAGATAGAAACCCATGCAGGGTTTCAAAACCAATTTTATGAATATAATGTAACATTTATAAGATAAATCCTGAAGTATCAATCTTAATCTTTACTCTCTTGCAACACACATGCCCCTTCTGCACCAGACACACTGGACTCCTTGCTGGCTGAGGGACAGGGGACACACATTCTCAGCCCCAGTCCTGTGATTACAGAACAAGTCTCATCTCGAGTATCTCCTCTCGGGTCTCCACCCGCCCACTTTCTGTCCAAGCTGCAGGGATCACCTTGAGGAAACCGTCTCAGATGTGAACAGTCACTCACTTTACAGCATGGTTCACAGGACTCATTTTAAAGTGACGGTAAGGACGATGGTGACATGACAGCAGCAGCAGCAGAAACAACACGACTTAACGGGCGGTCAGCAGCCCTACGTGCAAGCATGGCTCCAGGCGATTTACATGTATTCGCTCATGGTTCCATTTTTTTGGTAATTTTTGGAGAGCCCTTTTCACATTTCCCGTGTTGTCCAGAAATGGCCGCTACCCTACTGCTTAACCTTTTATAAAGATAACCCTCGTGTCTACTAGACAGAGGCAGGAACTGAAACCACCCTGGACTGGACCAGACTCTGCTCGCCAACATGGAGTGAGTAGCCGTGGGCAGAAGCCCAAATCCTGGCTCTTCCACCTACCAGCAACACACAGAGAGCAGTTTCTGCCACCGAGGGCTGCTGGGGGTTAAATAAAAGAATAATTTATTCAAAAAACACAACAAAATCCAGGCAGGGCACGTCCCCTATCTCCCCACCTCACCCTGATTTGGAAAATCACTGACTGTCAAATTTCTCTCTACCCATCGTTCCGGCTCCCTGTCTGCATTTAAGGCTTTTCCCTCTGGGAACTTCAGCTGCGAACTCCATTCCAAACCCGACACATCCAAAATCGAATTCACTGCTTTCACCCCGTAAGTGTTGCTTCTCCTCTCCTCTCTATTTCCGTTAGCAGCACCCGTTTCCCAAGTCGTCCAAACCTTTCTTCCGTGCTTCCTCCCCTCACCCCAACGACCCTTTGCCACGTCTCATCCATCGCCACGGCCTCCCTCAGAGGTGGTTCTCAAGCTCACGCCCCACTTCCATCCCCGCCGGTGCTGCCTCAGCTCAGAACCTCGTCATCTCTCGTGCAGAAGATGGTCCCTGCCTCTGACCGGGCCCCTTGTGCCCATTCAGATCATCTGATCCTCAGGGGCCAGAACTATCTTTCTAAAACAGACATCCCCCCTACTTTAAAACTTCTGACTCCCCAGAAGCTCTGGATCAAGCTGAAGCTTTCCAACATGGCCCCAGTGATCTCTGCAACGTCACCTCCCAGTACCCCCTTCCATACCCCACTCTTCCTTCAGCCCTACGGACAGCTCACCACTTCTGAGACAAAGGCACAAACTTTCACACTCTCATGTTTTTGTATGAGTCTGGAGGGTCCCCACCCCCACCCCTTTGTCCATCTGGCAAAATTCTCTTCATCCCCTAAGGCTCAAGTCAGATGTCACTTCTGCTGTTTAGTCTTTCCTGATTCCCATCCCCACCCCCCTTCCCTTGCATCAATCACTCCCTGGTGCTCCCAGGGCACTCTGTTCAAAACCTCCAATGTGGCATTGATCAAGCAGGGTTGTAGTTAGTTATTTACTCATCTGTCTCCCTTCCTAAGTTATGAGCCCTCTAAGGGAAGAGGCCACAGGACAGTCATGTTTATATCCCAAGCACCAGAAAAACAGTTCCTCGGAGTATGCTGGTGAGTAAGCCTTCAGTACGTGCTTCTGAAACAGAGCTAGGAAAACCACTGGGCTTTCGCAGCAAGAGAGACGAAATGAGCGGAGCATCTGATTTGTTTTTTCTTTATTTAAAAGGTGGAAGAAAACTTAATCAACTGCTACCTGCCTTCAAACAGTTTACAGCAAAGGCTGATGTTGTCAAGCAGGTGGAGAGAATCTTACTTGAAGGGGAATTCCCTCCCTAGAACGCCTTGCAGCTCAAGCCCGCTTTTGGAAAGACAATGAAGGAGTGTTTCTCCTTTGAAAAGTAAGCAAAAGGAAGGCAACGCTAAATACTAAATACTCTGCTAAAAGCTAAATATTCTGCTTCAGAGGTGAGGGTCAACTTGCAATGTTTTAAAAAAAATCATCATTTTATCCATATTCTTTCAAGATGGAACTTATCTAATAAATGGAACTTATCAAATAAATGCCATGTTACTAAACAGGTTGGATTTACCAAGATTTTTCCAAAAAGTTTCGGTCACTTCTGACAATATAAAAATATTTCATTTTCATTCCCCAAAACAAATGATGCACATTATTGAATTATAATACTGGGGAGAGGAAGATAATCCATGTTTTTCTGCTGACAAATGTGGCTGAAGCTGGTTAGAGTTAACCAGAGGGAAAGTGAACTGAATTCTTATCAACTGAATACAGAATTGAAAAAGCAACGAATTCCAAGAAGTAGCTTTTCTTAGCATTTTAAAAAGACGTCAAAGTGACTATGTAAAATGTTTGTTTTGTCGGAAAAAACATCCGTGTTTGAGTATTCACAGACCACAGAGAGGTTGGCAGTTAGGACTAGAGACATTTCTGGGGTGTCAGAGAACTGAATTGAGTCTGCAAAGCTTTGTAACTAGACTTGCCTGTAGATGTGAAAAGGCTGCCGTGGTATGAAAGAGTAATTCCTTCCTCAAAACTTTTTTGGGTAGTTTCTTTCCATGAATAAAAACATGCACAGAGGCTCAAACTTCAATCAGAAATAGTTTCTTTGACATAAATTCTTTAGAGGCAAAAATCTGGCAACAATATCCATCCAGACTGGATTACACTGGGGAGACGCCGCAGTCAGGGAGGTAGACCAGAAGGCTAGTGCGCTTCAGGCAGAAGGTGATGGGAGTCTGGGTGAGGGACGTGACGAGACAGAACAGTGAGGAAGGGCAAGTCAAAGGAAAGCTCCAGTGTTGGGGAACAGAATGGATATAGTGCACAAAGATTTCCAAACTGGGTGACTCGGAGAACTGACACAACTTTGGGAAATCTTTCATTTCCTTTCGGGATTTTCTCCAATTTCAACATAGCTCCCAATAACAAACCCAAGGTAAAACTGCTCCTTCAAGGTCACAATCTGTGGACCTACGGCTATTTCGTGCATATTTACAGACAGCTCACTTCTTTAAGTCTAGTACTCTGTCTAATCCTTTTTCTGTATTCCATCCACCTATTTGATCCATCCTTCCTGCAAATACTTACTGAGTGCCTTCTCTGTGACAGCCCTAATCCAGGGGCTTGGAAATCAACAAGAGACAAATATCTGAGCTCGGGGAGCTGGTACTCCAGGGACAAAAATGCCTAACACTGTGCCTTTTGCAAAGTAAATACTCAAAATAATTCTGTTGTTGCTGTTAAATTGAATCAATAGTCTTTATTGTGTTTCAGTCCAGAACACTAAGAACTCAAACAAGGAAAATCTCTTACATATCATCCAAGAAAAGTCTTGCCATAGCATCTTTAAAATCTACCACAATCAGGGGGGATGGTATAGCTCAGTGGTAGAGCACATGCCTAGCATGCACAAGGTCCTGGGTTCAATCCCCAGTATCTCCATTAAAAAAATTTAGTAAATAAATTAATAAACCTAATTATTTCCCTCCTTCGAAAAATAAATAAAACAAATAAATTTAAAAAAAATAAAATCTATCACAATCAAATAATTTTCAACCAATCTCATTTTTTCCCCTATTCATTGATGGCCAGATGTACCAACAAAAAGCTTTAGTGTTAAATTTAAAACTTAACAAAGCAGCTCACAGAAGAACAGAAATGCAGGGCGGAAAAGGCCATGAGAAGTCACTATTTTGGCCTCTGACCTGAATTTGGTAAATCTCTGTGTGCTATTCTTGAGTCAACCAGGCAATCTAAAATCAAGCAAATAAAGCCAAAAGGAACAATTCTTTACCTTAAGTGTGACTGTCATGGTGCCAGAAAAGTAGGAGGGCAGGAAGAGGTAATATACAAAAACCTAAAGATTCTAAGTGAAAGATGAGTTAGCCGCTCTGCCACGTTTATGGTGACTGAGCGCCATCTGCTGGCTAGCAATTAAAGTTCAACTACAAAAATAAACATCAAGCAATCCAATCATTACCGTTTACTGCAAGCAGCTCCTTACTTTATTACACAATGCAGTCTTCAAAACACGTTTAGAAACAGAAAGAGCGAAAGTCAACAAGATGCTTACATAATATGAGGGAGTTTCTGTTGTGCCTTTTGGACCATTTGCAGTAACAAATGCTCGACATCTCCTTTCACTTTGTTCTTCACAACTAAACACACTTAGATGACAAATCCAATGAGACCCCACCTGAGGCTGACAAATTGCATTTAGGCATCAGGCTTGCCCCGTGATTTCCATCTCTGTCTCAACTCCACTGTCTTCCCCTTTATTGTATTCATTTCCATTCTCGCTCATCATAAAATAAAGATAAGATGCATTAAGATATTCAGCTAATTGTGCAAATTAACACTGCTCTCTGGACATCTGATGCAAGTCTACTAAAATGAAATTATTGGCTGGCAGGGAAAATTAAACACCACAATGTTTAAGCTCTACAGTGTTAAAAATTCTATGGGAGCAGAATTTTATATTTGT